CCCCTTCCCTAGTCTTGCCCTTTCTCCCGGGACTGCCCGGTGACTCTGCCCCCCTAGTTCCCCAGGCCCCCGCTTCCCCTCACTCAGAATATTCTCCGTGTTTTCCGTCACCAAGTTGATCTCCGGTTCAAGAAAATATTCCGAGGCCACGCAGCGACCCTTCTCCCGACCTGGAGGGAGGATAGGAGGGCAGGGCTGGATGAGAGGTTCCTAAGGTCTGGAAAGACAGTCAGGGGCACCACGCACAGTGGAGAGACCCTCGGGCTGGGGACGGCTTAACCCAAGGGTTAGGGAAGGAGACGGGCGGGAGGTCTGGGGGCTCCTGTTCTTGGCTGCCCTAGTGCCCAGCCTCATGGAGAGAGACAAGCTGGAACCCTAGGTCCCAAGTGAGGAGGGGCTGTGGGCCACGACTCCTGGATCCCTAGAGAGAATCAGGCAGCGGGTGGCAAGATCATCTCTGTAATCATTGGGAGCCGTGGTTTTTTTTATCCTGTCCATTCAGCACTGGAGCTGTCCAGGGGACAAGTTCTGAACCTAGATGACCACCTCTAAGGGAGGCGGGGAGACTGCGGTTCCCAGGGGGTTAGGGACCAGGAGATGGTGTGAGCACTGGGGCTCCTGGAGGCAGGACATACAAGGCTCGGAATTGGGTCTCCGGGGAGGAATCGAGTCTCCAGGACAGAAACAGGAGGGGTGTCTGTATTTCTGGAACCCAGAGATGGAACGAAGAATAAAGAACTGTGGGGTGGCCCTGACCGGTTTGGCTCAGTGGATAGAGCGTTGGCCTGCAGACTGAAGGGTCCCAGGTTTGATTCCGGCCAAGAGCATGTACCTTGGTTGCGGGCACATCCCCAGTGGGAGGTGTGCAGGAGGCAGCTGATCGATGTTTCTCTCTCATCGATATTTCTAACTCTCTATCCCTCTCCCTTCCTCTCTGTAAAAAAATCAATAAAATATATTTAAAAAGAACTGTGGGGTGGCCTGGCTGGTGTGGCTCAGAGGTTGAGCATCGACCTATGAACCAGGAGGTCACGGTTCGATTCCCGGTCAGGGCACATGCCTGGGTTGTGGACTCGATCCCCAGTAGGGGGCGTGCAGGAGACAGCCGATCAATGGTTCTCTCTCATTTATGTTTCTCTCTCTCTCTTTCTCTCAGATCAATAAAAATATACTTTTTAGCCCTAGCTGGTTTGGCTCAGTGGATAGAGCGTCGGCCTGTGGACTCAAGGGTCCCAGGTTCGATTCCGGTCAAGGGCATGTACCTTGGTTGCAGGCACATCCCCAGTAGGGAGTGTGCAGGAGGCAGCTGGTCGATGTTTCTCTCTCATCGATGTTTCTAACTCTCTATCCCTCTCCCTTCCTCTCTGTAAAAAATCAATAAAATATATTTTAAAAAAGAGAGAGAGAGAGAGAGAGAGAAGTCTGGGATCCCACCAGGCCAGGCAGGGACAGGCGAGCGGAGGGCAGGTGAGGTGTGTACCTGCGAAGAAGCAGACGCGCCAGAGGCCGGCGTGCAGGGCCATCTTGACCTCCGTGGTCTGGTTCTGCGGCAGCACCGTGCCCTCCTCCATGTAGAGCCAGTAGTCGGTGCTGACCGCGATGCCCACCAGCAGCAGGCCGCACGCGCCGAACACGCTGCTCAGCAGGGTCAGGGCACGGCTGCTGCAGTGACTCATCGTCAGCGGCGGGGGGCGCCCTGCGGGGCCTGGGGGAGGGAAGCTGTCCTGGAGAAGGTCTGGCGGGACCCACTAGACTCCTCACCCCCAGGCAGCCACCCCGGACGGAGGGCGGGCTCAGCCAGACACAACCAAACCCCAACCCTCTCCCATTGGACCTCTGTGTCCGCCCTGGATTTGAACCAGTGACACCCAATATTGACCTTCACCCCTAGGCCTGGTCTTCCTGAGCCTGGCACTTGTCACTTGGATCCTGATCAGAGACCCCCCACACACACACACCAGACCCCCCCAACTCCAGGATACGATTTCCAACCATAATCCAACCACGTGTCCGGACGTGGGTGGGTGCCCAATATCATGACGCCAACTAAAGGGTGTCCCAAAATTCACGCAAGAAGTAATTCTGATAGAAAACAAAGGTTTATAATTAAAAATTGTAAATTTTTTTATTGATTCGCAAAGTATACAGTCTAGGGTTATGTATGGGATAGCACATCGGGTAAATGGCCCCCACGGCTTTGCTGGCACATACGCAAAGCCGTGGTCTTCATTGGTCTTCATTGTCCCTGCTCCTGGGCCATCATTGGTACTTGGTCATGCTTATCAAATTGAAGGGATTGAAATCAAAGGGCAACAGATATTAGAATCTGATTCAATAAACCAAGTAAAATTAGGCTTTTATTTTTTTGTCGTTGTTGTTGTTGTTAATGCTCACGCAAAATTCAAATCTTGCGTGAATTTTGGGACACCCTATAGAAATGCAGTTTCTAGATCCTCAACCCCAGAACCAAGCCTTCCGACCCAAACCTCATGCGCTCACCCAAGACCTTAGCCACAGACATGAGACCAGACAGAGCCTGGTCCTGTGACTCAGAAGCTATTACAGTGATCAGTCACGTCAGCCCTGGGGCCAGGCGCGCACCTCGACTCTGTGCCCTGGTGCGAGCCACACACCTTGAAAACCACACGCCAACAAGGGCCTGTGGCCTCAACTCTGAGCCAGAACCTGGGACTCCGAGTGTTGAAACTTGGGCACTGGGTGTTGAGCAGCCTGACCTGTGTAGAAACCTTGACTCAAGCCACCCAATTTTGACTCCATCTGCTGACCCCTTTCTTTTGGATTCTGTCTCTGAATAGAAACCAGAAATCCCCCCAGTGAGTCACCAACCAAGGACCCTCACCCCATACCCTGGCCTCAGGCCCTTGACCTCAGACCTACCTAAGACCTTGATTAGAGGCCTCCACCTAAGTTTAAACTCTTCTCTTGACCCAATTCTAACACCAAGAACTTCACCCATGACCTTCTAACTCTGGTCCTGTATCTTGACCTCAATCTGGTGCCCCAATCTGATATTCCAGAACCTGAATTCCCCCCAACCCCAAAACCCAGGCAGGCCCCTGGACCGGGGGTCCTGGAACACCATCCCAGGCTGCTGGATCCCCAAACCCTGGGACCCAGAAACTTGGAACCAGAATTTTGGATGGAGATTCCAGAATGACAAAACCATGATCTAGGGAACCATCCCCCCCCACCCCCCACACACACACACACAACTCAGCACCCCAACCAGAGCACACCAATCCAACAAGTGACCCTCCACAAGGATCAGAGCTCTGAATTCAACAACCCAATCAGGAAATCCAGGATCCCACTCCTCCCTTCGCCCCCCCCCCCACCCCCCCCCCACCCACACACACACTCTGCTGGGGTCTGTAAAATGGGTTCAGGATTTCTGCTTCAACCAAGGGCAACGCTTCCCCATGAATTCTCTACAGAGATTCTGGGCTCCACTTCCCATGCAAGGCCTTCCAATGACAGACCCTCTTCAACATCCAACCTGGGACTCTGATCCATATAACACTGGGTCCTCAAAACAAGAGATCTCCAGTTCATAGCTGGGGCCCCCCAAATTCCAATCAGGAATCTGAAGATTCCAAGGAGCATGCACCTCATCCCTAATTCACCACCCTCAGCCCCCACCACGGACTTTTCCCTAAACTAGGCAACCCCATGATTTGGGGGGCTTACCCTGGGACCCCCATCCTAGCTCAGCCAGAGACTTTTAGGTCTCTGAGTACCAGAGTCCCCATCCTCTTTTGAACTATGAAGGTTAAGAGCCCCTCAACACGTCCCGGCCATGCAACCAAGATCGGAGACCCCCCACTTTTTAACATCGGAATGCCGGGAGCTTGAAACTCTGCCCCACCCCAGTGAGGGGTCCTAGACAACTTCCACCACCACCCTCATCTCAGCATCCGCTGCCCCGACCCCACCCCCGCCTCCTGGCGGACTCGGGGATCCGGTCTGGCGGAGCTCAGACCAGCTTTCCTCCCATCCCCCCTGTCCCATGGCTCCGGGCTCGACCGCCAGCTCCTCGCTCCTCCTCGTCTAGCCTGCTCAGCTCAGCTCAGCTCGGCTCGGCAAGGAAACCAGGGTCCGAAACCCAGTTTCCCCGGCCGCCTGCGCCCAGGTGGCTGACCTCAGCTCCTCCCATCAGCTCCTCCGACCCGGGCTGGGACCCGGCTCGGGGTCCCCCGGCTCGCTCCCCGCCTGGAAGCAGCCCCCTCCATTGCTCCAGTTCCTCCTCACTCTACATTCTCCGCCAGCCGCCAGCCTCATCCTTGGGGACCCTCCCCCCAGGCCCGGAGCCTCCTGCCTCTCCCTCTCCCCAGCCTCTCCAGGACGCGCGCGTTCGGGTCTCCGGGGTCCCCTCCTCCAAGCCCGAGTCCTGACTCCATCGCCTTCCAGCCTCTGGGGGGGACATACCCGCTTTCCGGGAACCCTTCCCCAGACTCACGTCCTGCTCTTAGCGGGCCAGGCCCTCCCTCCCTCCCTCCCTCTCCGCCACGGCCGCCCCCCTCAAGGACCTGGGCTGCGCCCTGCCCGGGGCCCACGGTCCCTACGACTCGGACGTAAAGAGTGGAGTTGCCTCGCTCCGGACCCTCGGACCCCGTCCTCCGGTTCCCGAGGCCCAATGTCCCTCCATCCCCCATCGCCTCCCGAACTCGGAGGTCCCGACCGCCGGGAAGCCGGCCCCCAGAGCCACCCAGGCCCCTTTGAGCCCCAACCCCCGGCTCCCA